CTCCTCCTCCTCCTCCTCCTCCTCCTCCTCCTCCTCCTCCTTCTTCTACTGAATATTAGATGCAACCCAAATTATTTCCTTCCGTACTATTTCTGCAAGCCCCTTTCATTAACATGCCTTAAAACAGCCACATAGACAGAAATAAGTGTGAAATAAAATAATTATTTCAAGCATAGACAGAACTTCCTACTCCTTTTTTTTCTCTCTTGAGGATCAGTTGATGCTTACTACCCTAAGGCTTTTCCCCTTCAAAAAAAAAAAAAAAGTATGTGGCTGCTCCCAGCAACTCCTGAGGCAGCCATTTAAATCTGCAGACTAGTTAATAATACTTGCCTCAAACTTGAGCAAGTTGCTTATGGAACATAACTTATTAGCCCACTTTTTTATTAGGAGCCTGATGATTTGAAATAATAAAGGAGGTGGTCACTATATACATAATGTATGCTAAGAAGGTTGGAGGGGGGCACTAATTCCCCCCCCTCCTTTTGGATAGAGTAAGGAAACCTTTGCCATTCCAGGAACTGTGGCAGGGTAGCACAAGGCAATGAGTGAATGACAGTTTTTGTACAGTTGGTCAACTGGAGGGAGCATTAAAAGGCTTATGGTATTTATTGCCTAGAGAGTATATTATGTTTCAAGGATTTTTTTTTTCTTCCATTCAAGTTGTGTCTGATTCTTGAAACTGCCTGGAGAAGTTTCTGCAGTTTTCTTGGCAAGATTTGCCATTGTCTCCTTTCTAGGGCTGAGAGGACGTGATAGTCCCAGGGTCACCCAGCAGATTTCAGAATTCATGATTTCATGATCACCCGGATACCTTAACCACTAGGCATGAAATTGGTCATGAATCAAACTGTTTTTGAAGGATTAAGGAGTGAAAATGATGATACCTAGTACAAAAAAAACCCTTACTATTCTGAATAGGTATTTAATATGAAGTCAGTTTTCCAGTATATCTCTCCCAAACAACTCTGCCCATGTATGTTGTGCCAAAGATGACAGTAGCATATTTGGCCCCAGCACACATTCTAATACATCCTTAATTAATACTGCTTTTGTTCATAGTTCAAAAAAGTATGTCAGGTGGTCACAATTGGGTAAAGGAGTAGACTTTGCTTTTTAAAGAGAGGCAATAAAGCAAACAGGATTGCAACCAAAAAATTACTCATAATTTAGAATAAGTGTAGCCAGATTATAGATTTGTAAGTTTAATGAAATAGAAAAAAATCCAAAAGCAGACCCAAGTGTTTAAATTCCAGTTCTCTGCTGTAATTATGAGACTCTTTGGTGCTAGAATTTTTTTCATCTCTTCCATTTTTATTTTTCTCTCTTGTCTAGCTTAAGAGCTACTTCCATAGAAGGACAATTCTTCAAGTATTTGACTGTCCTTCTGCAGAGATGCAACTGTATTGATACAGCTGCAGTTAGTGTGTGGATTCCTGAAGTTCTTTATGGCTCATTGAACACCCAAGATTGTTTTGCACATCTTTCAATACTTGCTGTTGCTTAAGCTCTTTTGGTTTCCTAGCCTGGTTGCCAGAGTTAATGAATAAATGTATTATTCTAATCAAATAGTAAAAGTTATGAGAAGCTGGCAGGACTTGAAAGAAACAAGCAGCACTTAGTAGGTTTGAGGTTTGAGGTGAAGGTGAGCCATGATTTGCTAAATAGAAATTCCCCAATCCATTCCTGATCTGTATCCTTTCATCCTTATAAAATTGTCACATATCAATTTAAGGATAGCTGGGCAAGGATTCTTTAGCCTAACAAATACATCCACAAATTTATTCATTTTTTAAAATATTTCCAGAAGCTCATTATGGTTTATAATAATGTCAATTTATATGAAGTGATCATTATAAACAAAGTAATATTTAATATCTATATAAAATTCATATCTTGCAACTCAGGAGGGTACCTCAATATTATTGTCCCAGATCAGTTATACTGAGGCTGAAAAGAGTGCTTGAAATGTTGCGGTGTAGATGACATTTAAACCAGGATTTTTCTCAGTTCTGACAGAGAATAAATGGAGTAATCATAAATCAAGCACACTTCCTATTGTACTCTATCATAAAGTTGTAAATTAGTCTTCAGGCTTTCAGAATTGCAATAGGTGAAACAACAGCATTGTTCAAGCCAGATCAGCCATCAAGGTTCCAGCAAACAACCCACACTTGGTTTTAGGGTGCAAGAGACAAGGTGGTAGCAGTTATGAGGCTCAGGATTGTGGGATTCATGTAAGCAATATGAGGCACATGGCTATAAAGAAAGGCTGAAGTCTAAGATCTAAAACAGTGGTTCTCAACCTGTGGGTCGGGACCCCATTTGGGGTCGATCGACCATTTCATGGGGGTCGCCAAGCAAGGCTGTCCGCCATTTTTTTTGTCCGCCATTTTTTCCCCTTTTCCGGTGGGTGCCTTACCTCCCTTGGGCTGGGCCAGCTGGTGGTCGGCCTGCTCCGTCTCTGCCGCTTGCCAGCTACACCTCAGCCGGCGCAGGGGGCAGAACCACGCATGCGCGGCGCACCCGGGCAGGGAAAGTTCTCGACTTACGACCGGTTGGGTAGTCCTCGACTTACGACCGGTTTAGTCCTCGACTTACGACCAGTTTAGTCCTCGACTTACGACCGGTTTAGTCCTCGACTTACGACTGGTTGGGGTCGCGGCATTAAAAAGGTTGAGAACCACTGATCTAAAAAGTCCTCAAAATGTATTGAATGCCTAAGCTGAAGAAGTGACAAAAGGCAATTATAGAGCTCAGATCAAAGAGCACCAAGTAGAAATACCAGGAAACATGCACTTTAGCAGTCTGGCTTGTTTGTGTCTGTCATTCAGTAGTGGGATCTACTGGAAGCCACTTTCTGTCAGCCAGTGCTGGATGGGATGACTTGATATTGTTGCAACTTGATCTTGGGTCAGCCAGGATCTATTTTGATATATTCCTTAGCTCTTTCTCCACCATTTGAACTATTCTTCTATTCAATCTGGGATCAGTTTTTCTCCTCCAGCCACATCCAGTAAGGTTGGCGACAGTAATACTACTGTAATAACAATCATGATCATATGCACACAAAGCTCTTTAGAGATGCTTTGTAGCCTTTACATTGACCATACTTTCTTTCCTTTCTGCTTTCCTTTTTTTTAACCTACGTTCACTATACTGCACATAATGACACAAAAGCCTAAGCAAGTACTTTTCTCCATTTAAAAAGGAAGAGTGGCTAATTATGACATTGAAGATGGCTGTCATAATTAAAGTAAATAGTCTGATTGAGAGATCACTAAGATCCAAGAATGCCTTTTAACTTTTAAGGGGTACCAATACATTTTCAATTGCTTTGTGATTTACAAGAATGTGCTTAGTCATACATCAAAACAGACTGTGCAATAAAAAATAGTGGCATTTACTCGTGTCAGTTTCAGTTTATTTTATTGCAACTTGGGGTTCTTTGGGGAAAAGTGGTGGGGTACCAATACTTTTGGCTGCATCTGTACTTGTTTCTCAAGTTTGCTTTGATATTTGCATGTATCAATAGTTTGCTGGGATCAGGTCACTTTAATCTGATCAGTAGAGGGAAACATCATGTAACGGCTCTCTAATTCTCTGGAGGAATTATTCACATTCATAGGAATTTTCAGTCTTTTGGCTCTGCTTTTTTGTGATTAAAATGATTAGTAATGCAAAAGATGAATCCCTTTGGGTGACCTCAAAGAACAGCATTAGTTAGAATTATTTTTCTACAAAGAAATGAAAAATGGCAGGTAAGTACACCATTAATGCCTTTCTGTTTGGGAACTGTCAGGTATAAGGATTTCACCATGTCAAACGATTGTAGGTTTTTAAGAAGAGACTGGACAGCCATTTGTCCGAAATGGTGTAGAGTTTCCTGCCTGAGCAGGGGGTTGGACTCGATGACCTCCAAGGTCCCTTCCAACTTTATTATTATTATTATTATTATTATTATTATTATTATTATTATTATTATTATTATTATTATTATTATTATTATTATTATTATTATTATTATTATTATAATAATAATAATATAGTAAGTAAGGCATGTATGCCTGAAAAAGATGCCGCTGCATTAGAGAAGTGCTGCACTTCCAAATGCTCCAGCAAACCTTGCTTTCAAAGTATGCACAATCAGATTAACAGATCAACTTATTTTAATATTAGTGCAAAAACCTAACAACGTGGATTTGAACATAAAAGAGTTATTTGGGAAGGGAGGAAGGCAAAATAAATTGAAAAGAGCAGTGTCTCAGGACATTTTCCTGTTATTTTCCATAATGACATTTCTTCTTTTTCATGTACAGTTCATATAGGTTTTATCCTAAATGTGAAAGTGATACTTTTCCATATTCTAATGCTTATGATGGAGGGGAATCTGGGGACCATTGCTGCAAGTGCCAGGGCAATTTCAAATACGGCTTGCAATTTATTAATATGACATATTGCCAAAGCCTTTGTTTACTTGAGAATCTTTTGTTTTAGATATTTCAAATTCTTTAGATGCATATTCATAATGAATACATTCTTAACAACAAACAAGACTCAACACCCACAATTTTCTCACCAATTTTCTACCCCCATTTTCTCACCAATCATACTGTTATCTGTGAAAAATGGCTTGGGATATTTATAAGATTTGGGAAGATAGGCATAGTTTTATAGAAAGTCTGAAACAGTGCCTGGATTGTTAAAGTAGCTTTTAAAATGTGATTTTTGTTGAAATTCTCTTTTACGAGGCTTATTTCCAATTAAGATCATATTTCAAATCCACATTTTAATTTTTTATTAAATGAACTGAATCATTTGCACATGTAGCGTTTTAAATTAGGGAATTTTTGCATTTCATGCATAACAAGCAGAAAACTTCCATTTAGTAGTTGATACATGTTGATTTAAAAATCAGTTGCCTGCTGTTTTTTATATCTGGTATACATTTAACATTTATAAGTTTAATATTCTGTGCAAAAAATGCAAGTACATAATACTTGCAAAAGTATATTCAGTTGATAAATTAAATACACTTTTAATCTTTAGACTGCATGTAGCTGTGGATAACCTTTCTGCAACCTCTGAAACAACCCAGACTAGATAAAGCCAAAATTTTAAGCCTTTTTTTTTTTAATAGAAGAAAAGTTTGGGGAGTTTAGACATGCAAAATAAATGTCCTAAATCTTGTTATAGTTTAAGGAACATTGTGCTCCATTGTTAAATGTTACCTCTATCTTCCCACAACAAAATAACTGAGTTGATTTTTCTGGTTACTGAAGTGGTTTTTGGAACACATGGCCTCTAATGGGCTATAGCCAAGCCCAGATCTGTTTTATTTAACAAGCACACAGTATTAGTATTTTTCCTAAAACTAATAGAAATTCTGAAAGTAACAAAGGAAATTTTTAAGAACATTATTAAATGATTAGAAAAACATGTTGCAGTTCACCCAGGTCTGAATAGTTTACTCTCCCAATTAAGGACAGGCCTTCAAATGCTTCTTGATGGGAATCAGAAATTCTCTGAACTTGGAAAAATAATTATGGTAGGTAAGATTTTATCTGTGATGTGCTTAGATGTGTAGAAATTAACCTGCATATATAATTTTTTTTCTATGTAAAGCCCTAAATACTCTGAGATTTGGGATCTAGAAATTTTGTATCCGAGTCCAGTAATATTTTCATTAATACATTGAAGCCCATTGTCTCTTCCTGTCAATTGTTAGGTACATGTTGAATAAATATATAAGTATACTACTTTTGACTTGAGGTTACAGATCACATGCAAAGTGTACATAGATGAGCTTGTAGGAGAAGGCTGCAAAAATCACATACTGAGGGACAGAGTGTGTGTAAGATAACTTTCAAGGATGATAATTCTGGAAAGAACAGCCAAAGTGACTGAAAAATAGAGAGGACTTTGAGAAAAAGGTCAGAGCTTGTCGACCAGATTTGTTTATCATCTGAACAATGGTCCCCAATATTCCAAAGGCATCTCTGAGGATTTTTCCAATGTCTACAGATGAATGAGATGGGGAAATTGGCACACTTATCTTCCTCTGTGATCAGCCAGTGGGCAGCAGAAAATACAAAAAGAAAAGAGGTTGGAAGATTCGTGTAATCATTCCTGATGAGTGGCTGAGCAATTGCCTGGTTATAGCTCTAATATCAAGTTACCAGGTGTACAAAAGGAATGTTCTTTATACCAGTTCCACAGTGGTACAGAATCTCCTTCATTAACAGTTTCTCTCAAGGTTGCTCTGGTAGCATATTTCTAGATCTTTTTTAAGTGTTCAAGAATGACTTGAAGGAGTCAGCGATAACACTTTAAGGTTTGAATTTTATCAAAAAGCTTTCCTAATTAATCCAGGAAGGAAGGAAGGAAGGAAGGAAGGAAGGAAGGAAGGAAGGAAGGAAGGAAGGAAAGTTTTTGATGCTCTCTGCCAGCTTCCCACAAGGAAATTCAATGGGGAAGCCAGCAGAAAGTTGGAAGTCATTTTGACTTCTACTGCCTTTTTTGCCCACCTTTGGTTATTTAATGACACACTTCTCAGCTATTAAGTAAATTACATCAATAACCAGCTGAGAAGGAGAACACAAGAAAACCCATATTGGAGCAGATCAAAACTTACCTAGTCCAACATTCTGTTCTCACAATGTAACACCAAATATTAAATGGAAACCTATAACAAATAGCCACTGATAGCCTCCATAGTTTCAATTCCTCTGAAAATGTCCATCTTGGTGAAAAATTCTTATAATTGTGAATGTCATAGGAATTTACAATCTTTTGGACCTTGTCTGTCAGATGTAACTGGAGGAGTAGGGGTGGGGTATAAAAAAGTGAGGATGACAGGTATGACTGTGCAATCAAAGACTTAGCCATTTAAAAATATGTTTGATGCATGTTAAAAAAAAGAGTAGGGTTTTTGTGCATTTCATCTTGAGGTGTTTTTTTTAAAATTTCCCTGGTTGCCATGGTGTAGTAATCCAGTACATAGTGAGATGGGAGGCCATATAAATTTGTTTAATAAACAAACAAATAAAACAAATCCAGGTGTTTCCCTGCAATTTGCCAAGATCCCATGTTAGTTTAGCAGACTTTTATTAGTATCTATGGTATGAATTGATACAAATCATCCCTAAAGGCTTATTTGTTTGCTCGCTATTTGAAGTCCTAGATCAGACATGTCAAACTCGCGACGTCACGTGATGTCGCGTGACGTATTGGAGCTTTTTTGCCATTGCCGGCAATGGGGTGGGCGCAGTTTTGCCATGTCGCGTCCGGCCCGCAGGCCGGCAGTTTGACACCCCTGTCCTAGATACTTAGCAAATCTAATGTCTGTTGGATTTTCATTTGTACAGCAGAAGAAGGAGCCATGTATAAGAAAGGGATCCAAGTCCAGGAAGAATTCCTGAACTGGAGGCTCAGGACTTATCATTAGCAATTTTACTATTGTTACATGCACTTATACCAGAAAGCAAATCTCTTTGCATTTTATAAAAAACATTTCTAAGAAAAGATGCTGAAGATCAGTCTCCTAAAGAGATTGTGGCAGAATTGAAATGATTTGTACCCAGATAGTAAGAAAAGTCCTCAGACCCTATGTATATTTATGTATATTTATGCATTATTACCACTTCCATTTACTGTATGTATATTTATTGTTATTTAATGGACATTTCATACTAATGAACCATTACTTTCATTTCTGCCCTTAATAATCATACAATTGTCTATCCTGCAAACATTTGTAATAATATTCCTGACTATAAATTTGATACACTGCCTCTCTCTCCCTCTGTCTTTAAATTCTTTAGTAATTCAGTTTTAATGAAAATTTTCAATATGCAAAAGGAACACAGAGTTTAGGTGTGAAATAGATAAAGAAATCAACAAGAATATTCCTGTATATAATCTGAATAAGTAATCACCTCTTTGATTGGATTAATTATATGCTGCAAAGGAATTTAACAGAACATATGGTCCTGGGAATATAGAAAAATACAAAACTATAACAGTTTTGGCAAAATGAAGAAATTGCAAGTGTTTCTGGTATAACTGCAACATAAATTCACATATTTGACAAAAAGAAACAGTTGTCATTTCATAAGGTTATTGTTTGTACATAATAGGTATCTAGCTATTGTTCAGTACATGGAAGTCAGGACACTGCAGCAGACTTAAATGCTTTTTAATAAAGTGTATGACTAGAAATATTTTCCACAGATTAGATTTCAGATATTGCCTTGAGAGTGCAAACTGGAATTCTAGCTTTTTTCAGTTTTACTTAAAACTCATAAGCTCTCACTAAAATATAATTTCAAAATATGTAGGTTAATAAAATTATCTCTTAGTGTTGATCATTAGAAATACAGTATTAGCAATTTCAAAAGAATGTCCTAGGAAGGAATAATTAACAGCTAGCCTTAACAAAAAACAGCTCAAGCCAATTTGTTAACATATCTGCAAACACTGCTGTTTCTTCCATTAGAATTCAGCAGTACAACAGTATTTTCTGTAATAAGTTTTTTATATATTTCAATTCATAACCATTTACATTAGTCCAAAAAGCTTGTGCATGTAGTATTCTATGACAACATAACTCATTCTTTTTTTTAAAGTCAAGTATATTTTAAGTCAAGTTTAGTAAGAATATGAGTAATGATGTGATCAAGATGACCTCCAAGGCCCCTTCCAACTTTATTATTATTATTATTATTAAGAAGTGGGTTTTTTAGAACAAAAGTTAAATGTCTACTTTCAAAAGTTTCACAATAAATTTTTATCATTAATTGATAAATAACTTTGAATAATTTATTATATTTTTGACATAAATTTTGACTTATTTGCCTCTTTTCAATCCTTTATGACATTTTGCATTGGACTCCCAATTTTTTTATACATAATTTCAGCAAATGTCTATGGAGATTCTCAGTCATCCAGGTCATAGTTGTCCTAAGGATGCTTTTTCACGAGGCAACTGGACTCACTTGTTTTTCTTTGAAGAGGTTTCGCTTCTCATCCAAGAAGCTTCTTCAGCTCTGACTGGATGGTGGGGAATGGAAGGATTTATACTCCTTTTCTCATTTTATTTGTACATTACCCAGAGTCACTCTGTGAGGGAGATGGGAAATTTCTAATTTTAATAAATAAAAAAATAAACATCAGTTCCATTATTTGTTTATATATGAACCAAACCAAGTCTGCTCATTAATTTTTCAGACATAGATTCACTGAAATTACTTTTATGTTACAGTGATTATTTTCATTTACATGCATTTCCAGATAGTTAATTATTTGTGATTATTTCTTATTAAGCAGTTCCAACTGTTCTTGACTTAACAACTAATACTGTTTTTAAAGATGGAGATTAGTAATTTCTCAACCACAACTCCAGAAAATTTAATCAGATATGCTTTTTGAATTTACTGTTCTTCATATAATAACTTAGAAGAGGGAGATAAATCATTACTTCTTCTCTTTTTCTCATGTATATAGGTAGTGATTTGAAAAGAAAAAGGACATTGAACATTTAAGAAAATTATTTCAATACTTCTGGCTTTGTTCCTTACCTTATTTACAAATTTAATGATACTGAGGAAAATGTCAAAGGGGATGTTAATAACGTAGTTCTTTTTAAAAATGAGATAATTCCAGGGAAATTAATCATTTAATTATTTATGTCATTCTTGTGAATGTTTCTACAGTTAGAATCATGTCTACAACTTTATGAAGATCCCAGCAAAACACTCCTTTAAAGTGCCTCAGTAAAGTATCATACACCCCTGTTTTGGGCCAACTAAGTGGCCATTATGCTTCACTTCTTGTGACATGCAACTAAAGTTAAGCAAATTCTCTTACATTACATTATTAATGGCAAAAAGGAAATGTGAGTCATCAAATGATTGACACTTAACAAATATGAAGTGTTTTTTTACTAGAATTCTCAAAAAAACATTCTTGAGCTTTATTTTAGTGGTAATCATGTCAGTTAAATGACAGAAGAAACAATCAATTAATTTGATAAATATAAATAATATATCAGCCAACTCAAATCTAGTTACAGAAGGGAAATGGAATATAGCATTATAAAATATAGCTTTATTAGTTTCAGAACACTTTGTTACTTGCTGGACTAACAAAAAAGATATAAAAGGCTTAGACTCTTGGATTAAATTGTATCTCATCTATAAATCTTTTAGATTATGGTTTCTAGGGAAGGCAAATTCACCTCTACCTAAAATCTTGGATCCCAAGTTGCTCATCATGTTCAAAATGATAGATTTTAGACACTAGGATAGAAGGAGAAAAAAGCTACGACAGGAATAGGAATCTACAAAATTATTAAATTGAAATTGATCTAGAAATCAGCTTCGGCTGATCTCAATTTGATGTCCATTACTTCCATTGATATGACATGTAATTTTTCTTTGGATTTAGATTGGTTTCGGACCAGTGAAAATTCTAAAAGGAGTGAAGTTATGAGTAACTTTATATCAGCCTTTCCTTTTGGTATCATGAAATTCCTCTAGATTATTTGAGAATAGTAATTCTGACAGTTGCAGTTTCAACACATTTGAAAGGCAACAAGCATTGTACAAGGCAAGTTCATCTGGATTTTGCTGTCTAAAAGTATTATTGTGTGGCTTGTACCACATATTACTCAGACAGGTTTGCTAGAGTTTATGAGCTGGTGTTTTGGAGTCAGCTGAGCCTTAGCTGACCAATGACAATTTGTGAATGGTACCCTTTGATTTTTTTTTTCAAATGTGATATTTGGCTTCTGAAAAAATGCATTTTCCCCTCAGCTCTTATTTAATGCATTTAGCAAAGTTTTTTTTCAAAAAAAACTGTTAAGCTTTTTGCTCTACTTACAACTTGTTCCTTAATTTCTTTTATTCCGTATGTACAATATTATGTCTTTTTACTCCTAAAACATAGATATAGCATATGCTTTCCTTCCTTGCAGTGCACATAGAACCTGGTACATGTGAAGTCATTGCTGCCCACAGATGCTGCAATAAGAATAAGATTGAAGAGCGCTCCCAAACAGTGAAATGTTCCTGCTTTCCAGGTCAGGTAGCTGGGACAACACATGCTGCTCCTTCATGTGTAGATGGTAAGTGTACAGATGCCTACAGTGTGAATGTTTGGACATGGTTGTAGCTAGGTCAAAAGATGGATTCATAGCTCTAAAGCCTGTGAGTCTGGATAGTAGTGCTTGCTGAAAAATTTATATTAAATACAATCCTATACTTTAAAAATGTCAACCAAACTCTGTTATTCTGGATTCTGTGTTCTGTTAAGTAACACAGCCTGAATGTGTTTTTGATTTGAAAGCAGAAGTATGCTTTAGAGCAGGCCAGATGCGTCACTTGCAGGCCACGCCCACCCCGGCCCCGCAAAGGCAAAAACCATCGTGATACATCACATGACACAATTGAGTTTGATACCCGTGCTTTAGAGCATATGGGAGCTGACTAAAGTTCCTGTCTAGCATGTTATAGACCAAATGCAAAACCACACAATACCAAGAAATGACTTAGTTTCTTTAAAGAATTATAGGCAGCTTGCTACATGAGTGCCTCTGCATGATCAGAGCATTTGCCTTGCTTTAAGATTTAAAGCATTTCATAGCCTTCAACAGTTAGTTCTTATTAGGAAATGTCCAGAAGTACAAATTATTATTAACAGCTAATAAAATTATGTTGAAAGACTAACATAATGGTGTACTTAACTTTGAATACAAGTATATATTTAGTTGTTCTCAAAGTGTCAATGAGTCTCTGATAGTCATTAAAAGCAATTAATGGCAACCATGATTAGCCAATTTGAATAATTTTGTATGGCAAGGAAGGCTGATGTTTCTACATCCCAGTCCTGCTATTGAATTTGTATAACATCAGATTATCTGTCTGAATAAGCCAAGATTTGGAAAGCAAATAAGTGGTAAGCCAAAATGATTATTCATTGTCATTGGTTCAGTGGAATCTCCAGGTAGGATTAAGAAAGCCTTGCAAACATTTCTTCAGTATGGATCAGTCTTGCAGCTAGTAAGGTGGACTGTTACTTTTGTATCATAAGCCAGGTTAACACAGATTATGGGAGTGACTGACCAAAAATACCTGAAGAACAGCAGATTGGAGAAGCAAAACACTAAACTAGATGGGGTAATAATCTGACTCTTCTTCAAATGGAGGCTAGGGTAACTTAGTTAGACTCTGGGCATAACTGAATATTCTTCAATTACTATTTTTGGAATAGAAAAAGTGGGTTGTCAAGTACTCCAAAATCTGCTGCTTTTTACTGCACAATTTGATTCATTGCTTTAAACTTTTTTGTTTTCTAGGCTTTTTTTAAGTTTATAATGAAAATGATGATATTATTGAACATTCAGTCAGAAACATAAATTGAAGATGGATTAGTAAAACTTGAGACAATAGGCATGTTGTCCCCATAAAACAGACATCCAGTATTATGTTTTGTTACAGTTCTGTACTCATTTATCAACAGTTTTGTAATAGGAACCGAGTCTGGCAGAATATGACTGGCCGTGTGACTTCAAGTCTCAGTTGAGATGTGACCTCAGATTTCATGCACTATCCACACATGGGAAAGTTCCTGAAATTTCTCAACAGGTGCCATCTGTTTTCTTTTTTTTGCAAAAGCAAACATCATTCAAGCACATATTTTCAATCTTTTTAGAGAAACTTCACAGATTAATGCTGTTATAACCAATAAACTGGTTATAATCTGCAATCTTTCAGGCTGATTGTAGAGCCCTTCTATGGTAATTTGCAATTGAATCTTGCCAAAATAAATATTGTAGCTCAGAACTAATAAAGTTTTGTATTGAAGAGATATACTCTTATTAGTTTCCTATTCTTCCTAGAAATTTGTGGCCACCAACACCTTGCCACTACTGGACATGAAATCTGATGTGGAATAAAAATATACAAAACAGGCCAGGAAGCCTAGGCCAGTCACATCGCCTTCCTCAGTAGTATAGATACAATGGTATGTTATCAACTGCTTAGTATTTTTTTAAAGGAAATTGGTACAGTAAATACTGTAGTCAATTTGCTATTTTAAGTGATGTTCTTCCTCTCTCCTGGGAAAAGAACGATCTGCTTTGCTAAGAAGTTTAGGAATAGGATAGCAAGATATATTTTATGGAAGGGATGAACTACAGAAAAAAAATTGGTAGCTTTTTGTATATGTATGTGATATTTCATAACTATATAGTATTGTGGATATTAAGTTGTGCATTAATTATTTAGCTGGTTTTAGCAAAACAGTGACTCTCTCACTTATTCTGAAAATTGACTATAGATTTTTCTTTCTATAAAGAGCTTTTCAATTGAAACTGTAATTATTGCTCAGTTTTGATTTCAGAAGCCAATATTTTATGTGCAATTGTGTCTTATTTTTACTCAGAAAGGAATTTATTTAAACATCAACATTTCCTTTCTCTTATGGGAAGGTCAATTTAGCTATAATATCTAAGATTCCCTCTCTCTGAAATCTACTTAAAAAAAGTAGGAAAACCTGTTACTATAAAGTAGGTGTAACACATAGGAATGAAAGCATGCAATCTAATCACCTGTGCAAACTGCTAAAAACAACCTCAGCCCATCTATATTTTATTGAATAGTGTCATTTGGGATCTATTTGAAATGGCTCAAAGCCTCTGCTGGTACATTATTGATTGTCTTGGCAGCTTGGTTGGTACAAATGGATTTATATGTGATGCCAAGAAACTACTTAAAAAACATAGGATACTATTCCCCTGAAAGACTAGCATCTCTTAGCAGCTTTGGAAAAGTACTTCAATTTATCTGAACAAAGCATTTCCCTAAAATTACCCATTGAGATTTCATTGAAATCATCATGATATCTTCTCTTTAATCCTTGTGTAACGTAGTGGTGCAGCACTATCTTACATTCATTGGAAATTTTGATTTTTAGGCTCATGCACTTCTCTCTCCTGAACACTGCAACAAGGAAGAGTGATATTTAAACTTATCCAAACAGCGAACACTGGTTAACTTAAACTATGTTGGATAAAACAAATTATGCTTTATGAATCAGACTTGTTAACAAACCATGGAATAAGCTAACGAGACTTCCTCCACTTCAGACCTAATGACAGATTCTGCTTCGTTTGAATGAACTGGTGGAACTGACTGCAGTGGCAGAGAAGGGGATAGAGGCAGCCTGAGGCTCAGAAGGGCAGCACACCATGCAACATTGCTTGCTTATTAGTCACTTTTCTGTATCCTCAGCTTTTGCACTGCAGCTGCATTACCATGATATAGGAGGGAGCTGACAGGCAAAGTAAAATCAATGTGTTGCTGGCGTATCAACAAAGGCAGATTAAGATCCTTTTGCCTGCAACTAGTTTACCAGGCCTTGTGGAAGCAAAAGCACTGAGAAAAACAATGAGAAAAACATAGAACACTGAGGTCTCAAATCCCATCTGTAGTTAACCTTTCATGACAGTTTATTCTTGATCAGTTGTCATTAACATGTCTTGGACCTACCCAAGGCAGCAAAGTACTAATGGAAGAATACGTATTTTCCAACCAATATTGTTGTGCTGTGTGTGCTTCCAGTCAGTGTCTATCAATCCTTATTTTTCCTTTAAGAATGAAACATTGGCCCTGGCTTTGCACAATATGACTGGTAACTCTTCCAGTTTTGATCATTTCCCCCCCAAGCTCTGGGTTAACTGTAGGCTTGGTTGTGGGTCTTGCATTCATATTATTCCAGTGTCGGCAACCCAACATAGTGTCACAACAGTGTGTATGAACTGTGTATGAACAATGAATTCATGAAACAATTCCAGGAAATGAAATGTAAAAATTAAAGAACTTAATTTTTGAGTGTTGGACATGTGTGGGTGTGGCTGTCTGGGGATGGGGGTGGGGGTGGCTTTACACCTGAACTATCTTAGTCTGAACTGAACTGAAAATAGCAAAAGAAGAAAGCAAGAAAATAAACTAGGATTTGTGGATGTCAGTACTTATGGCAAAGATGATGGCAAGGGAAGATTAGTGGGAAGAAACACTGGATTTTCTAGAGCAGGCATGTCAAACTCGCGACATCACGTGACGTCGCGCAACGTATCAGGCCGGTTTTGCCATTGCCGGCAATGGGGTGGGCACGGCTTTCACGTGACGTGTCCGGTCCGCGGGCCGGCAGTTTGTTCTAGAGAAACTAGTTAATTTCCTTTTTAAAATAATATAGAACTAAAAACGAAAAGAAATTACTGTATAAGAGGCTAGGAGTTTGAGTATGTGAATAGAAGGCTTTGCTTTGCTGTTTCAACTCTTCCTGGATAAAAATATCTCTTTTTCTACCTACGAATTTTAAAAATTGCATGCAAAATGCCTTGGGCTTTTAATCTTTAAAAAGATTTTCCCCTGTGGTGGAAAAGCCAGTTGATAAGGCGGATAGATTTGACTGAGAAAAGTTTTAAGTTTCATACTGGTTTTTTTGGCTGCTCAACTTCTTAGCCTCCCAGAGTTGCTGTTGTTTTAATTAAAATCGCCAAGATACTCTTCTTTTGCAGTGTATTTTTTTAATTTAATGCTTATACATCAAATAAAACTTTCTTTTTTTCCTAGTATGTATTATATAGGAGACTATTTTCATTATTTGCTTGTAATAAGAAGTTATCATTAGTTTCACTGATGATTTTTTTAAAATGCATTCTTGTGTTTCTATAAAACTTCTTTGTTTCATTGCTTGTCCTTTTTTATCTGTTTATAAAAAGTATAAACAGATTTTAGCTGTTTAAAAGCTGTTTATACTTTTAAGCATATAGCTTTTTAATTTAAAAGAAACGTGAATAGGTTATAATTCATTGATAAGAATGCAGACTCCGAGTGTAGGAAGACCTAGGTTATTCTCCACCATCTTCACAGAATTGGAGTGGACCATTTTGGCTATCAAATCCATCCTCAATTGTGTGCAAAATGGCAGCTGGAAATATCCTTGAAAAATGGCTGTCTTGCCTTTGCTTGCTGAATAATTGGTGCAACCACAAGAAATAATCTTGGATTTGTTTCATCAGTGGCTGAACTTTGCATAGGACAGTTTTGTTCAAGTGTGTTTGTGTGTATTCACGTAAGTGTGAAAATATTTCAAAAATTAGAATAGCTTTCCTTGTAACTGTATTATTTTATTATTTTTAACACAATTTCTTCCTTTCATAGTTCTGTTTCATGGTAGACTTTGGATGGTATCAATTTTTCTCTCAGTTCCTATTTCAAAAATAATAAATAAATAAATAAATCTGGATATATAAATGCAATACTTCTGATTTTCACATACCATACGGTATTCACTTGCATTTAATAGGATATTTGTTTGAATGTCTGTCTATAGCCAGTCTGGAGCTGAAATGATAATATCTGAGAATGTGTTGAGTTCTTCTTGGAAGTGCATTGTGGAATGTACCCTTACTTTGGTATCTTTGGAGTTCACTGGAAGTGTAGATTTGAGTTAAGAAAAAATACAGCATCAATTTGTTGCTAAGGTTTTTAACAACACCACTTGTTTTCTCGTAGCATCAATAGTGCTTCAGAAGTGGTGGTGCCAAATGCAGCCATGTCTAGAAGGAGAGGAATGTAAAGTACTACCAGATTTGTCTGGATGGAGTTGCAGTACTGGAAACAAAGTAAAGACAACTAAGGTAGGTCTTAATTAAATAAATATAACTTCAGTGAATGAGTGATCAGGCTCACATATTTTGCCCAAACTGTACACCATTTTTGTAATATAATGTTTAAAAATCTAATGATTAGATGATCTGCTGAATGAGAATTGCAGGGATCACTTTATTGCTTAGTAAAGATGTGCTAAGAACACCAAACATTATCGCTGTGTGATGGCTCAGAGATGCCAACTTACCATTCAGCCATTATCCAGGTCAACTATCCTATGGTTCTTAATTAAAAATAGTTTACAAAACCATGTTGAGGGAAAGAAAAGAAACACAATGGTGAGGCAATTTAGGCAAAATATAAGGGTCTTTAATGGGTTGAATGTCCCATGGGCACTACCAAAATACCCTTGTTCTTGAGCTTAGTTTTTTATTAGTAAGTTGTTACTACTGGGCCTGGCTATGAAGTATTGCTTTGGTTGATGCAGTGGCAGGAGATTAAAAACAGAAAATAATGTAAGCAGCCACATGAAAGGCAAGCAATGAAACTCCACAGCTGATGGGATGATTATATGGAGAAAGGACATAATACACTAGTCACTTCCTATTTTCCAAACCACCAATCTTTCATACAAATGCTATCATTTTTGTAACTGTTTAGACATTCAACTATTTTATAAACAATTAAACCTTAAGTATGCCTTGAATATCTTGATGTAGTATGAACAGTGCATTTTAGTACAATCCTGTGGATATTTGCACAGATTTAAAGATTCTTCTTCCATCAAAAGCTGCGTAATAAAGTAAGGGGGGAAAAAACAAGAGTTGTTGGCAAAATTGGAAGAAGGTTCAATAACAAATCTTACTAAACATTTCCCAAATTTGGTCAGTTCCTTAATAATGGAAAATATTTTTCTCTGTTGAAAATCACTTGGTTCAGGTATTTTTCCCCCATCTGTCCTCCTATTATTTCAGAGAAGAGTGACAAAATCAGAAGTGACAAGTGTAGTGCTCATAATAAAAGATCAGTTGTTTAGTTAAAAGAAGCATCATCCAGCTGATAGAAATTGATTTGCAGTTCTAATGGCTATTTAGGAGGAGAGTCTCTGACTAGAGGTTCACTCAGTATTCCAGTGAAGTTCTTAGATAGAGGCTGCATCTGTAAGATTTTTGCCCAGCAGCAGGTTTTCCATTCTTTTCCTCTCACTCCAGCCAAACACTTTCCATCCTGTCACAGCTCCTCCTGTTGGAGCAATCATCTGTGACAGAGAACTACATGATTATTATTTTCATGGCTTGCTGAATACTCTGAAGAACAAGGTATAATTAAAATTTTATCAAACTCATTAGTAATTACATGTATGTCATGGTTAATCAGTTGAATAATTTTGTAATCATTGTTCATACAGTGGAGTGTAATTATTCTTCAAGCTTTGCCTGCTTTGTGCTTCCATCTCCTTTACACACAAACATCCCCAAAGAATTGCTCTGTGAATGGCAGAGTATTTTCTTTCTTATCTTTTGGCCTGCCAATAACAAACACACGCTGAAATGCTTTCTAAACACTGAGCATCAGAGTAGATCCCATTGACTCAGGTAATCCTGATGACCAAAACTACTATCCTCCCTCCATCAACCTTGCTTTACCTGTTACCATTTTTATATTTAATTTTACATTTTTTTAGTGTCAGCGTTGTATGTGTCTTCTCTTTAGCTCTGAAGGTACTATTTGGAAAATAGAAATTTTATCCTATGGTCATCTTTGTCAAGCCTCTTCCCTATACAGAGAAGAATTTGCACTTCTTATCTATTTCCAATGTTCTTATCCATTTCCAACTAGTTGGGGAGTTTTTATACTATTTTAATGGCCTTTGGAGCAATGTCTCAGCACAACTGCTGAAAACTGGTGGGCAGTTTCCTCAGTTTTGAAGTGGAAAACATACAAAATTGGGGTGTATTTCAAAATTCTCTCCAAAACCCCAAGAAAAAAAAGAGGATTTTTTTTTTAGCCTTACTTCCACCCACTTCACATTATCAACTTATTCAGCATGGCCACATCTTCTCTAAAAAAAAATTATAAATGTGAAATCCTATCTACCAAAAAATCCATTCTGCCTCTGGGTCACAGGATTAGTTACAACTACTGGAAACAACATACTGTAGCTGAGTCTTTATTAATTGGGGCATCCCATTCATAGCTAGAAGAGATGATTGGGCTTTGGAGCATGTGCTTTCAAAGAAATTGCTGAAGTGAAGGAACAATAGAGAACCCAATACACCCCTGGGGCAAGAAAGAAGTGCCAAGTAATGAGCAACCCGAGGAAGACAGATAAGAATTCACCTAGGCTTGGATGCAAAACACAGCGGTCTCTCTGCTCATTTGGACTAATTGACACTCTGAGCATCCTCAACTGTTCACAGGAAATGTTTCCTATTTTCAAATTAACCACAGCGTCACTGCATTCACGCTTAGATGTGTGGGCAGTAGGGAAATAATAATCCCCTTGTTTCCTGAACACAGGTGAATTCTCAGAATATTCAAGAGCACCATTTCCATCCAGAAAACAGATTCTCTGTTGCTCATATCACTAGTATGTGACTTCATAGCTTTCAGACAGCTATATTTATTTTATAATTTGTCTTTCTCTGATCATTCAGTTTTTGCATTAAAGCAAATTGTCTTCTGTTTGTTCTGTCTTTGAAATACACTGTTACTGGCTGGACATTTAAATAATATGCATATAATCCCACATTAACTACTGTATGGTTCTCTGCTGTATACACATGGATGGAAGTTGTTTTTCCCTCTGATGCTCTTAGTTTGCTATTTTGCAGTAGATTTGCTAAAGTGTTCCTGTGAATATCTCTCTTGTTTGGCATGCACATATGGCCAGGGAGAGAATTTAAATAAGAATATTTAAATGTATCCACAATTCTCGTGGCTGTCTTGACAGAAATCTCCAGACCTCCAGTGAAATAAATGAGAAAGGACTTTGTAATGAGTAAACAAGGTATGGAATATCTGAAGTCTCTACAGTCATCAACAGATATTATATAACCTGACATTTTTCTCAGGCTTCATGGAGGTAGATTTGTCAATTTGTTACAAAGGAAATAAGTAAGACTGGAGTTAAGTAATAGCAATCCAAAATGTTTTATATAGCAGGTTAAAATTTGAAACAACTGAACTTTACAGGTGGTTCTCATTTAGCAACCAATAATTCAGCAGCTGTTCAGACTTGCAACACTCTGAACAAGTGGTAGTTTCAGTCAGTCCTCAAAGCTCCAGCCATCGCAGTAATAGCATGGTCACGTGACAGTGATTTGCAACATTCCCTATCACTTTCCCACAAGCAAAGCCAATAGGGAAGCTGATCATGTGAGCTCATTGCTTAATGATGGTAACTGGAGACTGCTAGAACTGCCATTGCTAAATGACACATTTCCCAAAATTGGGAAATTTTGGTCCCAATAACTGTTGTTAAGTGAGGACTATCTGTAGTCATTTTTAGTGCCAAATGGAAAGATTTGGGGCATGGCAACTAAAAGAAACTTAGGATGGCTTAACCACACTGAATATGCTTTGTTGTGTAGGTGACTTCTAGTAAATGGCATTACTTTAGATTCCCATGACAGCATAGCAGTTTTGACTACAGTTTCTTTGCATTGGAAGATGGGAAGAAGCAAGAGTTTCTGGAATTCAAGAGTCTTAAGTTTTAGGAGTTTTGTTTTCCTTGGAGTCAGTGCTTCCTTAATTGCAGAAGTCTGATTATAAGAACTTGAATAAGGGGAGTTTGTCCTAGGGAGGGCATATGCCTTATACTTCTCTGAAGCTTCCACCCATGTCAGACTTAACATTAAGGTACATTGATATGGACTAATTGTAATAATTGGACATGGGGAATCACAGAGATGGAAACAATGGATTTCACCTAATTCATTAGTATCATACCAAGCAGACTTTCTATTTCTGGGACTTTAATCATCCTTGTTAAATGCATATGCATTTCTATTAAAATATTTTGAGAGCCTTGCATGTCCCTGGTTTTCTTTTTCAGAATGTTATTGTACTATGCAAGGGGAATTTTAAATTTTTAAAAAAATGCCTTTCACTTTAACAGCTAAAAAGGTCACTTAACATAATCTTAAAATTGGAAGCCTGGAAGTGCTTGAGGGCATTAAATTATAAGAAATGTTAATATTTAAGCATTTTGGAATAAATTCCGCTGCCCCCATATAAATCTCATACATGTTCTGTTGCAATATATCTTTCCTTTCTTTTCCTTTTTTTTTGGGGGGGGGGTTGTGACTCTTGATTCATGGGATTCTGACAGACACTTTTAAAGCTGATTGAGTTGTTTTTCATTGCTTCTGTTTGTGACTGTGCATGTAATTAAAGATATTCCTTGTGTGCATTCCTTGTGTGCATAAGACAGCAGCCACCACTAAACTAGGATGTTTGTGCAAACTGCAGTGTTTGTCTACATTTGGAAGATGATAGAGATGGGTTCACACAACATGCCAACCCAGAATTTGCCTAACAATCACATAGAAATATATATGGGTTGACTCATACATCTCACTAATCACGTAGTAAATGGACTGGTGTTAAAATACTTTAAATCAGAAACAGGTCACATCATCACTTGTATATTATGTGAAAACAATCTATCTAAAGGAACAAATTAATGTGGCAACTCATCTGAGTCACATCAACCTTTGGTCTTAGTCCAGTAACAGTTGTTGACTTAAAACCATTTTTTCATCTTAACATTGGCCTGGAACAATGTGTTATCTTTTTTTTTTTAGTTTTGCTTCCAGAGCACTGATTCATAATAGAGCTATATTCAGATTTGATAGAATGTGCTTCTGACTTCTCAGGGGCACTCATGTGAAAAGTAGCTCTTCTCCCAGGAAGGTGCATCTGCACTTGGTAGCTATTGTCCAATCTTAGGCAGAGGTACATTTGGTTTAAGAAAGTGCTGACAGATATTCCATGTTATGTTTCAAAGGACCTTTTCTTCTTTGATTCTAAAGCGCTGCATAGCCTTAATTCATTAACAAACCAAACTTAGTATTATGTAAACCTCAATTGGCAAAGAATATAAATATATGGGAATATAAATCTACTCCAAGATGTTAAGGTGGCAGAGGTCTCTTTGATACATTCTGTTCTGTTCACAGGTCACACGATAGATCTTGGAAGATCCATTGTTATCAGATGTCATCTTCATTGATATGGCCAGCGTTCCAAAAATGGCACAATATGGCTTTTGTTCAGGTGCAAGATACTTCTCGTATGCTTTGCAGAGTTGGAAATATGAAGATTTCCTTGGTGCAGGATATAATGCATTTGAGGTATAGGATGGCTATTTTTTGTGGGCACTTTATTAATCTTCCTCAAGTACATCAGCCTAGAGAATGGTGCTGCAGTCTGCTTCCTTTTGAAAGAACAGTACCAAGGATTAAAGAACAGGATTGGTATTCTTGTCTCAGCAGATATCTTGGAAATTTTTCCTTGTTTTTGAAAATAAAATATCGCATCAGCTACTGATTAAGTAAGTGCAGCCTCAAAGGTATTTAACAATCAATTGTTACCAATTCTACAATTCTGGGTCTTGAATGAGGTTACAACTCCCTTCTGTTCCATAATTTCTATTCCATATCATGGATATACCTATGAGGAGAGAGAGACAAACAAGCATTTCTTCCCTTTCTGTTCAGTCAACTATTCTTCACTGCATAGAGTCTGTTAATGGCCCCAAAGGGGCGAAAAAGCTTTCTTTCCTTTTAGCTGTTTTTTGTCTCAAAGCTTGCTGTGTTGATTGCTAAAAGAATTGGAAACTTAAATGGATGATTCAACATAAAATTAGGGTATTTACAAATGATTTATAGTCAATGTTTTATTGGTTTCACAGATAACAGGCTTTGAAAATTTGGGTCCAAGAAACCAAATTCTGGTCTTTCAAAAAAAAAAAACATGCAGTTGTTTCAATATTTATCAAGACAGCAGACCAGATTCTTTGCCAAGGTTATGGGAACATCTGCAGTAGAGATAGAATCCAAAACCTTGATGAAAGAAATATCTTCTGTTTGATTTCCACAAAAGATATTCTCCCTGACCATTCTTCCACCTTGTTCAGCAATTACTTTAATCAGGCTTATTATAGTTTTAAGTCTTTGATAACTTTAAAGTTGTAAGGATAATTTGTTGGATAAATTCTATTAAACGTCTGAGAACAAGGAAAGTATTGTCTTTCACTTTGCTGTGTTGTGCTTGGTTGAGTTTAAATTTTATTTGAAGACTTGAGTTAGTTTAATTACCCACTTAGTATTAAATAAATACTTGTAACGGACAACTATAATGAGTACAAATCCCTTTTAGGGGCAAATTATTGTTTTTAATAATCTATTCTCTATTAAAATAATACTAAAATCCCTAGTTATTTTACTCCTATTTGTATTAGGGGATGAAGGAACATCCACTTGTCTTTGGTTTATTAAGACAAAGTTTTCAAGATTTTTTTTTAAAGCTGCTAGAGGAAATCAACGAACATAGAACAGTGTTGTCTCTGGCAAAATTAATGTCATATTTTGATAATCTGGCTTCCTAGTAGAAAACTATATTTAAGGTCCATGTAAAATTTCATAGCAAATGGAAAATTAATAACGAAGGTGTAGACATGTTCCTTTAACATAAATCATTATTAATTTTTCTTATTAACTATTGAAATCCACTTCCACTTTATGAGCATCTGTAAAAATGTTCCATATCTGTATCCTATTATGGCTACCTTGATTCCTGACATTCTGTTGATATAATATAGGAATGAGGCTGCAAGTATATAAATTGCAAAGTAATATCCAAAGTCAATATCTAATTCCAACTAATTTAGATGGATTGGAGTATCCAGGAAGAATGTAGTGGGCAAGCAGATGCACCTTCCAAACTTTGCCTTGCCCTGTCCTGTTTTGGAGTGGCCTGGCCTCCATGCTGTGACTGTATGAACCCTCCAATTTTGTTATCTCAACGTTTTTGTAACAGACTATGTTTTACTTGCTTCGGATGCTATGTAAATAACAGACTGTGAAATATTAAAGTTCGTTTTAATCTCTGCAAGGTGATTCATTTGGTTTTTATTTTTTCCAGCCAAATGGAAAATTAGACAGAACTTTTATAAGGCAAGTTTGGATTCCCATCAGGAAAAAAAAATGGGACCCAGTTGTCTAGGACAAGTTAGCAAGAAAAAGATCAAGTTAAAAAATGGGTGCCATCAGGCAGAGGCTGAGAAGAAAAAAACCCTAGAAAATATCTCCCAACACATCCTTATGGGACAGATAACCTAGTATTCAGTTTGGAGTATTCCATCTTCCCTATCATATCACCCAAGGCAGAATATATGCAGTCTTTCTCATGTTTCCCACTGCATACATACACATAGGACCCACAGAAACAACATGTAGATGCCTACCTCAATTAGACTGTTTTCATCTGTTTTGCTGTGCCACAATAAAAACAATGCATGCATTACCCTGATGAGACACAAACACACATACACAGGCTACACCGTCCTTATTAGACCTTTACAGACACGCACACAACCAAACAAAAGCACAATACTTGGTTACCTAACTTGGTTAGCTGATAAAGAGACTGTAAAGAATTCAAGGATTTATTTTCTATATGCTTTCCTACCTTGTTTTAATTATGAGAGTCCTTTGGGAAAAGTGGGAGGAAAAGGTAAATTTTGAAGACATCTAGTGAAGTGAAAAAGGTGAACATTATGCACATAGAGATGAAAAAAAAAGATGTTGATTAGCGTAGTAAAGTTGTTGCATTGGCATAGGGAAGACCCAGTTTGATAACTATCCTTCAATCAGTGAAACGTAATAGTTGACATTGGGCCAGTCACTCTCAGTCCAAGTTACCACAACCACAGGGTGGAGAAAATGAGAGACCACCTTGAATCCGTGAACAAAAGATAGGTAGAAATCAAATGAATAAACATTAACATAACATTTCTACTAGTCTTGCTCTTTATACAATGGTATAATAGTATGTATAATTGTAAAAAACCTAAGGATTATAACCCATTTCCCTAGGTTTGAAGCTGTACTGATTTATTTATTTTGAATAACTGTAACCAAGTTTTCTGCTACAAGACTCAATCCAATTGATTGTAAGGATAGTCTGCAAGCATAGAAATATTTTATATGGCATAATACATCTTCTAGCACCATGTGTTTATATATGTGTGCATCTATGCTTTTAAATTTAGTTTTATTGCTAATAAAGGAATAGAAACCAAATTATTAAAACTATGATAAAATAATAAAGGACAAATTTCTTTATAGATGGCTAAGTGCATAAAAGTTCTTATACATTGAGAATTGGAAAATATAGGCCTCTGTAAAACCTTAAAACAAAGATACTTAGTTTCAAATCATAACTTGTAATTCTATCCTTTTAGTTTTCCACAATGCAGATAGTCCTCGACATATGACCACAGTTGGAATCAGAATTTTCATTACTAAGCAATGCAATCATGAAACACAATGTTACATGACTGCATCACCCTGGCAATCCAGGCCAGTCCTGGTTGTTATCATAACTCCAGATAAATGGCTCATTAAGTAGAAAGTGGAGGGAGTCCCAGATAAAGAGTGCAGGGGGGTGGGATGGAGGAGGCCCTAGGAGGCCTAGTACAGGACATGCATGAGATGGGGGAGGACATGCAGGGTGCAAGGAGGCCGAGTACAGGACATGCATGAGCTCAGGAAGGCTGGTGAAAGAATACGCAATATGAAGCCCAGCCCCAGTATAGCCTAGCACCACAGTGCAAAAAGGCTTCTTGGTGTGTCACAACTCTGCAAGAAGCTCCTAAGGTGTAGTACAGCAAGACAGGGCAAATTAGCTACCCCGGGAAGCCCCAGCCGTCCCAGGAAGCCCCAGCAAAGAGGTACAAAGCTGCTATCCAGCTGCACGGCACAAAATAGACACGCCAGGAAACCCCAGCCATTCCAGTCCAGCCACCCTCACTGCTCTGCACTCTGAGACTACTGCTTCCCTGCACTCCACCACTTCAGGTGATCTTTGCTGTGTTCTTTTTCCCACTGCTGATAAGGCAGGCCCACCCTGGCCCTTTGTGAAGCAGTTGCTGGCCACATAATTCTTCCATCTTCCCCAGATTTGAGGAGAAGGCAGATGCCCCATTTGGAGAATGGCATATGCACCATTCTCACAATGCTTTGGAAGATCTCAGAAGTTTTCAAGGGCATTCTGAATCCTGATGAGAACGGTGCACATGGTTATTCTTTAGAGAATAACACATATGATTTGGAGAATGGCTTGAGCAGCCTTGGGAAGAAGGCTTGGCATGCTCAGCAGCTGCCTTGCATAGAATCATACGAGATATGCCTCATCATCAGTGAGAGGAAGAGGGCAAAGGTCAGCTGGACACAGCAGGGTCTGTGGAACATAGGGAAGCAAAGACAACTGGGGCTTTGTCCTGGGGTGCTGAGATGGCTGGTGGCAAGATAGATCTTGTGGCAGCATTTCTCAGTTGCAACAGCAGCATTGGGGCTAAAGTAAGAGCTGGGAGTGTTGCCAGCTGGCTGAGACGGCTGAAGGCCCTGGGCCTCTACAGTTGCACTCCCTCTGTTCTCTCCGAGAAGTGCCATTGTACATGACAGAGAAAATGGCAAAGATGGGTGGGAAGCGAGATAAGTGGGTGGGTGGGGGGAGTTGAAATGTCTCTGTAGTCATAAGTGTGAGCAAACTGCTAAGTGTCCATGTTTTGATCACATGAATGTGGGGGCTCTGCAACAGCTATAACTTTGGAGACCAGTCATAAGTCATTTTATCAATACTATTGTAACTTTGAACTGTCGTATAATGAATTATTATTATGTGGAAGACTACTTCCATAGCAAAAAAACCCTTTTGACACTGATTTTTGTTGGTGAGATATAACCTGAGCATGCAGTTAGAGAAAGCATTACAAACTCTCCCACTTCCAGTCTAATGCTTTAATACTTTTTTTGCACTTCTGATACAGGTATGGTGCTTTTTTTTCAGTGGATTGGATCTTGACCAAATTAGTCATCCTATTATATAGCCTTACTGCTTCTATCTGAAATAAAGAGTGACTAAATATCTTCTCAAGGTATTTAAGTGCGTATAAATGCTTGGGCTGAGCAAAAATGCCTTTCCATCCTATTTGTCAGTGGCAAAATATGAAAAGAGGTTTGGCTGAATTTTATGCTATGAAAGGCAGGTTCTCTCCAACAGTTGGAGGAGAAACCCTAAAAAGGAATTTTCTTTTACCATTAGTAGGAATTATTTAGTACAGGGTGACAAAAGGGGTGGACAAAAAAAGGGACTAGAAAGCATAGTGAAGTAGGATTCAGCCTTGTCTGGAATTCTACATCCTGTTTTGGGGTAGAAAAATTAGGAAACAGCTTTGGTCATTGCTAGCCAAAATTCAGGGATGTCCAAAATTGAATATTCCTTGAGATTTTAT